AGATGCTGACTCACGGTCAAGCTGCGCTGAGGAGACAGCCCGCGCCTCTGAGGGGACAGTGATTTCCTCTGTGCAGACCAATCTCCCCCCAAAATACCCGCAACGAGTGGTCGCTGCACGCAGAAACGTTTAGAGTGGGCACAGAAAGGAAGATTCTATCGCATCGAAAGCTCTTCTAGCTTCTTCCAATCTTTCTCATTTAGTGACTCGGAAAACATCTGCCTGGCCAGTTTTAAAAGGAAGAGAGAATCAAATTCTCTAAGGATAAATCAGCCTGATGAGCAAAACAGTGTAAGTGGTGTGGTGGTAACCGCCTGTAATACCAGCTATTTGGGAGGCTGAGGCAGGAGGAACACAAGTTGGAGGCCAGCCTGGGTGATTTAGCAAAATCCTGCCTCACAATAAAAAAGAGAAAGGTCTGGGGATGTAGTTCAATGCTTTCTGGATTCAATCCCAAAGAAAACAAAGTCTATAAGCAGTAAAAACACTCAGGATCAAGACCTTCTCAGTTATTACCCTCTATCCCAGTGTCCCCTTGGTCCCAAACATTTAAATAACATTTCAGTATTCTCTCACAGAACCTAAATTATAGAGGAAGCAGTCAGCAATAGGCACAGGACAAGGCAAACTGTGGTAAATCTATGGAAGCTAAAGAGAGAAAACATAATTCTGATGAAGAAAATGGATAACAAAACTCCCTGGAGAAAGTAGTAACACCGTTGAGCCCCAAAAGTCCTATGGCCCATTCCTGAAAGGATGATGAACAAAAGTATTAGAGAAGGCAGTTCATAAAGATATCTTTGTGAGGAAAAAAAAGTTATCTTTGTGAGCCAGATGTGGTGGCACATGCCCATAATCCCAGCACTTGGGAGGCTGAGGCAGGAGGATCAAGGTTAGCCTGAGCTACAAGGGGAATTCAAGGCTGACCTGAACCACACAGAAAAACCTTCTTTCAAAAAAAAACAAAAAAGATATATTGTACTTGTGTGTATTTGTCTGTGTAGAAAAATACAGAATGGGGCTATATGGGGGGACCAGCACTGTGCTGTACTCAGGCCAGTGGGGAGGTCAAGGTTTCCAAAATAACGAGAAGACAAGATAGACCACTATGAAAGCACAGAAGAGAAGATCTGAGGAATGTTTGCACTGGCCAGACACAGGAATAATGAAAATGAGCAGAAGAGGAAATGGCACTTAAAAGTCAGGGATATAGATGCACGCAAAGAAGTTTAAACTGGTTGGGTTGTGTCCATCCACTGAGGATTGGATAAAAAAATTGTGGTACTCTGATATAATGGAATATCACTCAGCTATAAAGAAAGAAAAACTCGAGGCTTTTATAGGTAAATGGTCACAACTAGAGACCTTACTCATAAGTGAAAGAAACAGACCTGCATGTGTAAGAATCATATTGTCTCACTGGTGTAAGACCTGAAAGAGTGAATAAAAACTAGGAGGTATGATAGACATTGTGAAATGAAAAGTGCTCAAGGGTAAAGGGCAACTGGGACGTGGGAAAAGAGAAGGGAAAGAAGGAGAAATTTTGTATGTATGTGTATACAGGATAGCTAACATAGCTGTACTACTGTCTTCTATTGCTCTACAGAAAGAAACAGTTAATGATTACTTGTTTGATCAATCTTGTATGTCTCTACTTGTTTTCCTGAGAAACCACTTTGAAGATATCAATAAGTAATACAACAACCATGGTTCATTTCCTACAACTTTATCTGTTAACTGTTTTGTTTGTATTGTTCTTATGCTAGTTTGCAAATGGATATCTGTTTGTTAATATGTTTTCCTTCTTTTATTTCTTAAAATAAAAAAATAAAAAATAAAAATAAACTGGTTGGGTTTTGTTTCTTTCCAGCGTTATGTCTTACTATCCTGAGACCTGTCCTTTAGGGGGAAATACAAGAACCTGATCTTTAACAAAGATCAGAATAACTTGCTCAACCCACCACAACGTTAAGATGGGTTTTTTTTTTTAACCACTCGCCATGTCAACCCAGCAAAGTTGACTCTGAAATTCTAATCTGTCTTTGTCTCCAAAACAAGCACACAAAAAATGCGATACACAGTGTCGCTATCACTATCTTCCATGACCAAAATAATTTAGTCTGAGATAAAAAACACTTGCACTCTGGCAGACACAACATTGAGACAAATTCGAGCCCTGCAGGAAAAGCACCGCGGCCGCCCCCCCTCCAAAGAACTACTTTTTCTTGCAAAGGAAGGATAGGGAGGGAAGAAATAGTCAAGACCTACACTGCAGGATGAGAGGGTATACAAAGCCATCTGTATTTCCATCTCCTTTGGCTGTAGGTGTGAAGCCCCATGTTCCCTGGTCTTTCCAAGCAGCTCCTCTTCAAGCTGACGACAGCACAAATGCAGCCCACTCTGCACTGGTATGTCTGGTCCAAGCTCTGCCACCAACCACATGATTGGAATATGTTATTACCTAAGGCTTCATTTTTGCCACCTATGAATGACCCCAAGCCGGGCATGGTGATGCACACCTGTGATCCCAGCATTCAGCAGGCTGAGACAAGAAGACCACTGCAAGTTTAAGACCAGCCTGAACTTACATAGGGAGACCCTGTCTCAAACAAAACAACACAAAACAGAACAAAAAATGAGACAGTATGTGGCAGGACCTGGATTCCATTCTCAGAATGGTAAAAAAAATTATGAGACCACTGGACTCCAGAGCTCTAAGGTTCCCTCTGTCTCAAAAGCTGTCATTTTTTGGATGGGTCTCTAAGACTTCTTGCATACAGATTTCAACCTGACGTGCTTTCAGCCACCACCATGTTCAGGTGTGAGACTTCCAAAGGAGATCCAGTTTGCTGATACTGGCCGTTACAAAACAAAGGAAAAAAAAAAAAAAGGGTCGTGTTGACCCTCCCCAGTAAACCCAGCACTCTGGGAGACTGAGGCAGGAAAATCACACATTCAAACCTAACCTGGGCAATTTAGCAACTTAGTGAGACCTTATCTCAAAATTAAAACTTAAAAATTAGGGCTGAGAGTGTAGCTCAGAGGGAAGGCCCTGGGTTCAACCACAAGTACTGGGGCGGGGGAGCCACACAAAACACTTCACTTTAACTCCCAGTTCCTTGGAATGACACTAAGGACTGCAATAATAAAACCAAGGTAAAATCACAGCACATTGAATGCAATATGGAACTACTGAAGCTGCAGTGCTGCTTTGGACCTATCTAATAACAACTAAAAACAGATAAAGTAATCTTAAACAATGACAAAGTAGCATATGCCCCAAATGCACATGCTCTGAAACCTGCTAACCACAGCCCCTTCTCTCCTCTTCTCCCCTGAGACCAGGGGCAGCTAGAACTGACCCGGACTCTTCGTGGTACCTAGGAGAGGAACACAACTTCCACTGATCACCAACTGAGAACATTCGAGCGGGGGCACACAACACGGAGAACAGGGCTTTCCACCTTTTCGGGTCTCCGTTTACACCTCTATGGTGACTAAATTATTTAGGGGATCACCCGGGTCATTATGTTTCTAAATGTTCCACTCAGCTGCAAGTTTGTCTCTTCCTCCACTAGGAGGACTGGACTTCACGTTGACTTGGGGACTTCAATTCTACGCCAGGCATCACTCTTGGGAATATAGCCAAGACCAAAAATGGGTCCCCCACGACAGGAATATGCTCTGGAAACAAGGGGGCTTCTAGAAAGTACTGGCATTCCGGTTTCGCTCTGAATTACTAGAACTAATAGTAAAGAATACATATTACAACTTACAATTTTTTTTTTAAAAAAAGCGCTTAACCTTAAAAGCAAACAGCTCCTAAACTTCCGGGCCCTAAAAGCTGGGAGCTTGGGATGAGATGAATTTGCTTCAGTAAGGAAGTTTGCCTGCACCAGCCGCGTCCGGGCCTCCGGTGCCCAAGTCGTCCAGACCCGCAGGGGAAAATGCAAAACCAAAATGGAGGAGGGGCCTCGCAGGAGCGGCTCGGAGCGCCAACCTCGTGGCTCGCGCCTCATGGCGCCAAGCAGCCTTCCTGCTTCACTCCGCCCGGAGCCCCACCAGCCCGGGGCGCGCAGAGCACCCCCGCCGCTCCCCCCGGGAGCCCCGCGAAGTTGGAGCCGGTGTTCGAGGTGGGGGAAAGCAAAAAGCCCCACCTCGAAGGCAACGACGGGAGGAAAGAAAGAACCATTTGAGAGAGCTCCACCCCGCTTCACCTGCAGAAGGAGCCCGGGGTGAAGCCTGGACGCCTCTCCGCGCCTCGCCGATAAAACAAAGAAAACGGGCTTCTGGGGAGCACACGCGGCCAGCAGTTCCCTTCCCCGGGCGCAGAGGCGCGCACCACCCGGGCGCCGCGGAGAACTTTCTGCTGGAAGCCGACCGCGCTTCCCCTGCCTACCCCAGACACAGCCTCTACTCTCCCGCCGCCGCGCCACCGCACTTCTGGGCGCAGGCTCTTCCCCGGGAGCCCTGCGATCCCGCGGCGGGGCGCCCCTGCCCCCGACGCCGCCTCGCGCGCTCCCGTCACGCGCGCTGCCCTC